AAAAATATAAAATAAGTTGAAGTACCTAATGTAGAGATTTGCCATTTCAATATAAGTTAAGTAAGACAGATTTTGCTTTTAGGTTTTATTAGGGTTTACTAGGTTTAAGAAAAGAGCAAGTGCATTGATTAGCTAAGTGTATACTGTTCACGATTAATAAAATTAAAAAACTATCAACAATATTAACAATTTAAATAATTTAATAATCATCTCTTTTCGTTAAAAATAAAAAATTTTAAATTCAAGTCGCATAACATGCTGATTGAAAAAGATGATAAAAAATAAAAAATAGTTATCTTTTATTATACAATCAAAACTAAAAAAAAAAAGTAGTAACAATTATTGAGACTTGGCCATTCCATCAATTAAATGCAGGCAGCATTTTTCCCATGGGTCATTGCGCATGAGTTTATAACAATGCTGCAATAATGACAGAATGACTCACGATAGAGGGTATCGACAATGAGATTTGCAACTGTACGCCATCTCTACACGTCGAGATTGCACTCTAACGAAGTCCCCCTTTGCAGCTGCCGACTCACCCAAGTCTTTGCCCTAAATATTTTATGGAATTTTCAAACTTAAGGCACGATTTAAATTTTATTAATGATATCCTTAATTAATTTTATATAAATTTTTATATTAAATTTAATTAAAATAAAATATAATGTTTATACTCAAAACATATAAAAAAATATAAATTTGGTACAAAAATTTATATAAAATTAATTACAAAATTTATAATTAATAAAACCTAAGGGCATAGATTAGACATACACATTTTTTTTCATTTATAAACTTATGCATTATTCAATTAAGTAGTATTCACTCTCGTCTTTTTTAATTATCTCAATTCTTTAATTTTATATAAATTAATTTAATAATATATAATAATTAATAATTAAAAATTTTAATTTAAATAAAAATATGCAATAAAAATTATATATATAAATAAAAATTTTCAATTGTTATTTATTTATTTATATATAAAATTATTTAATTTTTAATTATTATTTATTTATTATATAAAATTATCTAGTCAAATTTTATTGAAAAATCAAAGTAAAACAATTAAATTTAACAAAAAGAATAATCGATAAGAATTTAAAATTTTATATTAAAAAATCATGTATTTAAATTTTAAAATAAATAGTATAAAATTACTTATTTGGTGTCAGGGTCGTACATTATAAAACATTTTAGAGAAAAACATTAATTGTAACTTAATTATTTCTGGTTATCAACACTCAACTGTATATGACTCTAGGTGTTTTAACTTTTACGGACGAAAATGGATTAGGTCGTCGACATCTTAAATGGTCTAGTTTTAATCTCTTTTTAACAAAAACAAAAGATAATAATATGTCTAATATCACATGACATGTAGGGTAGGTAAATAAAGAAATAAAAAGGGTTTTTCTTTTTTTGTCAAAGAAATAAATAGATTTATCTTTTATTATTTAACTTAAAATATAAATGAAAAAAATACATGTAGAATAATCTATCAACTTATTAACAATAAAAAGATTTTTTATTTATCCAATTAAAATTTAAATGCTCATTTTTACCCATTATAAAAATTTCAATAAGTTGACTTGTTGTATAAAAAAGAAAAATGATTTTAAAATAATTTTTTTATCACTTTTTGATATAACTTGATATGTTATTTAAATAATTGATTTTTTTATATTGATTGCACAATATGAAATAACTATTTTTCATTCTTTATCTTATCTCACTTGCATGTCATGCGATTCGAATTTAGGATCTCTTATTTCTCGTGGAGGGAGATTATCATTGAATTATTTAAGTGGTTGACAATAATTTATTTTTTTTATTCACATAGAATCTGTGATATTAAATATATCAACTCATTTAATAATATGTAAAAGTTATATAAAAAAATAATATAAAAAGATTGCTCTTATAACACCATTCATAACAAAATAACTAAAATTTAAAAGGAAAAAAAAAAAAAAAAAGGTTAGATTAACTGAAATGCTCCTGCCGACATGTCGAAGGGAGGAAAAATGGGTTTGAGTCATCAAGTAATTCAAAGATTTGAATTTCAATCCATGCATCGTGCATGCATGCCAACAGCCCCTTTTTTTTTTAATCTATCAATCTCATGAGTTCACATCTCATCTATAATCTTGTTTGAATTGCCGATACAGAGTAGACAGGAGAAAGTGATGTTTATTTGGTGGTGTACATGAATCGTTTTAAGATTTCAAAACAATCTTGAATTTGTATTGGACTTAATTATTTGGTGTTTGTTTGACTCTACATATCGGGGATTCCAAACCGAGCCCTTAAGAAAAAGAGGGCCTGGACGATTTTTCTTTTCTTTTCTTTTTTTTTTTATTTATGGTAAAGGTAAAGGCCAGGACTCCCAGGAGGGAGGAGCCCAGGACTCTCTTAAACTAACATTGTTCTGATATACCGGGCTTAAGACTATAAAACCCATTTCTATGGTGCTGAATAATAAAAAGGCCCAATGAATAAAATTCTAGTGGCTCTACTATTATGGCAAAACCAACATTTAACCCCTCACCTTACAAAATTAGTAGGTTTTAACCCTTCATCTTATAACATGACACTTTAGGTCCTTTACCTTACAAAGTTGGTAGGTTTTAATTCTTCACCTTATATTATGACATTTTTAACCCTTCACCTATACGAATTGAAGAAAATAACTCACACCTAACATTAGATTATAATATTTTGTTAATTCTGTTAGCTAACTGTTAACATTCGTTAGCATTCTGTTATAGAAAAACATGAAATTTAAACTCAATTTTATATGTTAGTTTCATTAACGGAATGCTAACGGATGTTAACAGTCAGCTAAAAGAACTAACAGTCAGCTAAAAAAACTAACAGTCAGCTAAAAAAATTAACAGTCAGCTAATAAAACTAACAAAATATTATAATATGATGTTAAGTGAGGGTTATTTTTTTCAATTCGTGCAGATAAGGGGTTAAAAATGTCATAGTATAAAATGAGAGGCTAAAACATATCAATTTTGTAAAGTAAGGGACTAAAACCTACCAACTTTGTAAGATAAATGATTAAAAATGTCATATTATAAGGTTAAAGGTTAAAATTTACCAATTTTGTAAGGTGAGGGGCTCAATGTTGGTTTTACCCACTATTATCTTGTAAGTTAAGACACTAAGAATATATGATAAAAAAAAATTTATAATTACTAGTTAATAGCTAATAAAATAAATAACAATTAATAGTTTATATTATAAACTGATATTTTCAAATATTATAATAAAATGTTCGAGAAAAATAAAGGGCTAATAAAATTAATTAAACCAAAAACACCCACCCAACTTATGCAAGATGAGATGGTTCAACTCGTATGAACCAGAGAGTCTAATCTTGGCTTCTTCTTAGACCATTTGACCAAACATAAGTGAAGCAAAATCAGTCCCACCACCAAGAGGGCAACCTGCTACAAAGGATTGAACAAGAAGTATGGTCCCCAGTCTTGTTTCTTTACTCGGAAGCTAATTACAGGAAGGCATCTGACATGTTTGAGAACTATTACGAGTCTTCCATGCCTTAGAAATCTCTTTAGTTTCCTTGAACAAAAGAAATGTTGGAAGGCAGGTACTTTCGTGTCCTATCTTCCTTCCAAATGTCAGTCATCAATAACCCGTCTTTTTTCATCAACAAAGTAAAGAACTTGAATTCATTGCAGTGCATTGCTTTGCTTTGCATTGCATGATGGGTCCATGGTAGAGGGATCATTCATTTTCTTTATTAATTACATAAACATACAATACAATCTACGACTTTAAAAGCCTGATCAAATTGTTTTGTGGTCCATAGCAAAGGAGAAGTCAATAATTGACACTACACATTGATATCATCGAACCCTCTACTCCTTTTTTTTCTCTTTTCCTTTGCATCGTTTGCTATGTACATTTGCAACAACCAAATTTCTCACAAAGGCATTAAAAGGAAACGTGTACCGACACATGAAGATTTGACATTCTGAATTTTAATCATAGTCTCCTGTGGAGCTAATCTCAGAACCATTATGCAAATCACGAACTTACTCAAAGAATTCCCATTTCAGCACCTCCACTAATCAATCAAAAGTTTCCCATTTCGTGGTGACGATAACTGACTCAGATTGCTGTCTAGGTTGCCGCTGCAGCAGCACTGGAATTTGCCTCTGCTTCTCCTGTACCTGTTTAGGCATTTGCCCATTTGATATGTCTTGTTGCTTCAGTGGGGTTTTGTTGCCCGCATTATTGCTCTTAGGCATTGTGTTTTTCAACTTCAACACATCAAGAGTTTCAATATACTTCTGCACTCTTCTCTCCTACAAGAATTACACAAAGGAAACAGAATCAATGGAGCTTAAATTACTAAAACATGTTGATGCTATAAGGTAAAAAGAAAATTTAAAAAAAAAAAAAAACCAAAGACATGTACCAGCATTTGCTTCTGCAATTTCAATTCTCCATTGACAACCAGTTCATCCAGTTTAACCAATTCTGTCATCAGGAGTCCAATTAATTTATCTACATCGGCTTCTGCAACTTTGCTTCCTCTAGAAACTGTTGCTTCCATGGCCGCTACCTATCCAACAACAATTGATGAAACTTGTTCTCTTATATGAATAAAACCAAACAAAAGAACAGAGGGGGGAATTTACCTGTTCCGAAAATTTGTCAACTTCCAGGCTAATTTGCGACAGGGATTTGGATGCCTTTTCTACTTTTGCATTTTTCAGCATCTCAAGGCACCGTCTCTCTTTACTTGCCAGGTCCTCAACTACCACCATTTTCGATCCATCTTTCACTCTTACAGTATCTAAATACGCCTTGGAATCTCTCTCCTTTTTCTTGTATATCAGTTTCTGGTCCTCATGATGCAATCCAGTACGTTCCGCCAGGATTTTCTTCAACTCCCCTGAAAAAACCACAAACACCAACACTAAAATCATTCTCGTCTCATACAATCCAAGGAAAGAGGAAAGAGGGTACAAGTAAAAGATTTTTGAATTACCAAAGCTTGCTTGAGAACTGATACGGATTTCGTGATAATTAGACCCATGTTTCACTCTGACCTTAATAATGGGAACTGAAACAGAGTTTTGATCCGAACCCAACTCCCGCTTCTGAACCAGCATTCCTCCAGGCCTAATCTCCCACGCCTCAGGGCTCATACTGCCTCTGGTTTCACCACCGACACATTTCTTGTTCCGCCCTGAAAACATCCCATTTATTTTTGACCCCATCCCGTCCATGAAAGAAAGTTCATCAAGAAAACAGGGGAAGGAAAGGTAGAGGGAGAAGGAGATGTTTTGGAAAGCAAAAAACGATAGAAAAAGGAATGGACAGCCAAGGAAGAATGTGAAGAGAAGAATCTACCTACATATATAATTGAAAAAAATAATAATAATCCTTGTAACTTTGGGGATTTTAGTTACGTGAAGAGGAGACAAAGAAGGAAATGCTGCTGACATTTTTATATTTATATATATTTTCAATAATTTTCATCCAAAATTTACAAATCAATAACTGCAGAGGTTCATTGTTCTTAGAGAAAAATTTCAGTGTTAAATTCAATAAATAATAATAATGTCTTCTGTCTATTTTACTTGTCACAACACAAATAATATTTTAAATTTTCTTCTATAAAATGAAATTACCCAATAAAAAATGCATATTAGGAAAGAAAATTTTAAATTATTGTTCATATATCATAAAAAATAATTACTTAAAAATACATTATATGACAAATAAAATGTGCTAGAGATATTTCATTTTTGAAACGTAT